GACTCTACTAGCTTTGCTTACAGCAGCCTGGCACTGCAAGCTACTATTTAGTCTGTGGTCTACAATGACCCCCAAATCTATTTCTGACTTCCCCAGTGGCATACCCATAATTGTATAGCCCATTTGCTTATTTTTAATCCCAAAGTGCATTACTTTGCATTTATCGACATTAAACCTCATCTGCCATATATTTGCCCACTCCCCTATTTTATACAGGTCCTCCTGTAATGTTGTAGTGTCTAGGTCCGTTTCTATTACCGTCCCGATTTTGCTATCAGTAAAAGCGAAAACACAAAAGCAAAGCGCACTGGGCTAGTATTACAGCAGGGCCTGGCATGGAAGGCTAATACTGACCTTTCAGTAGCTGGCTCCTTCACCAAAACATCAGGCACTTCATATCTAGGCTTTAGAGGTGAAATCTCTTTAATTTTAAGTCTAATGATATTGTCCTTCACTGCAATGATTTGCAGTTGCAAGGGAACCTAAGAGAGAGGAGATGAATGAAATCAGAATTTTGGGTCAGACAGATAAATCAGTGATACATTTTAGGAAATTACCAAACTGACTGAATATATTTCTTTATATAATATCTACAGAATCTTTATATAGTCAAAACCATACACTGCTCTTTTTTGTTGGCTCAACCCTCGTGCTGAACGGAAATCCCCGCTGTTCCTTTTTATCAGCTCAGTAGCTGTTGCAGATTGAGATGGAGATTTTCCGACAGGCTCCTTCGATCAGCTGGTCAAAAGTTGCCGGCCGAAAGGGCGCAGACAGCGGCACCCACTGTGCAAATTTCTGCCCGTTTAAGGGAAAGTTTAAGGAATAGGTCATAAAGAAAAATCGGAGATTAACCCCTTCATGACTGAGTTTCTGTTCGTTAATGACTGAAGCACTTTTTACATAATTGCTGTGCGATTCTTCCACAGCAGTAATATACTTTCTTACTAAGTGCACCCACACATATTATATATTGTTTTTTAGAGGACAGATAGGGCTATATATTTATATCACATATGTGTGCCTAATGGCTCACTTAGGATGAATAAAATATAAAAACAATGAGGAAAACACATTTTCCCTAGTTTTGATTATTATAATAAAAAAAATACATTCAAATAAATTTGTGTATTTGTCCTTTATTTGAAAACACATCACATCCCTAGGATTTCAGAACATTTTCTGTACTTCTTAGCCTAAAACTGAAAGCTAACATTTTATTTTTAGTTTTTTTCTCTAAAAGCTCATACTGGTCATCTGGCATACAATTTCACTATCACTAAGTGTCACACTGTGTACGTGTAACAGCGACATACTTTGAACATCGCCATCATGAGGGGGTTAAATAAAAAATCAACACCTTAGCGTGAGCAACAAATCTGCAGCTCAGAACAAAGTCGGAGGCCAAACAAACCCCTGGGATCGGAGGAGGGCTGCAGAGGGAAGCAAACAAAGACAGATCCAGACCACCACATACATAAGAAAGACTGCGCCTGATCCAGAAATCCGCCACTGCAATGCCAGATGACATCAGAGAGGCAGCTTTCTGGACCAAACACAGACTTTCCCCCCCTTTGTTTGTTTCCCTCTGTGGCCCTCCTCCCATCCCAGGGGTTTGTTTGGCCTCCGATGTTGTCCGGCTGATCTCGCAGTCTCTTAGGACTGAAGTTCTCCTGAGACAACATGTTGAGGCACCTAGAGAAATGATCATCTTTCAATATCTCTACAATCAACAACCAGACTACAGCAACATAACTTGTATTGTATGGTATATGGACCTTGTATCAATATATTTTAACTTCTCGCGTTTATACTAATGCAAAAATGTTTTTTTATGCTTTTTATGCTTAATTCATAATAAAAACAACTTTTAGTATTTTACCAAGGTTACAGTGAGAGCTAAGTTTTTCTCACAAGCCCCCCTCTCCCAATCGTTCGCGTACGTGGGAGTGGCAAAATGATCATCTGATCACGGATATATATTAGTTATTGGGGTGTGAAACAATGCTCCCACTTTGTACTATGCACCGATAATTGTAATCTATTATACTGTATAGCAAAAGGCATTCACTTACTTTTTTATGTGGTTGGGTAAACGCAAACAATGTCAGGAGAAACCAATCCATACCAATCCATACCATCAAGAAGCCTTTAGGTTTTAATAGATTCTAGCGATCAGTGTTGGATGTCTAGAAGATACTGACCTTTGTTTCCTGGTGGATAATCTTGATTGTAGTAATGCCATTCCCTGTTTTGAGGGTGTCCAGCTGAGCCAAATATGGTGACTGGTCTGGGTGAAGAAGTTTCTGTCTACTGCATGTGAAGGTGGTAAAATGTTAGAAAGCCAACTTGAAAAAACATATAAACAGCGCTCTCGGATGGGCAACAAATTGGCTTAGAGGTGTGTGTGCAGCCCTGGAAAACAGTAGGAGAACCTGTGGATTGTAAATATTCAAAAAACCAAGAAAGGGCGCAGAGAACACTGGCTAGTTAACAAAGTAGTGATGAAAAACTGAAGGTGGTGGCACTTACGTGTGAATGCCAGGATCTGGAGATGGACGGCCGGTATGGAGGATCAGGGCACTCGTGGTGTGGTGTCCGACTGTGATCGATGTATTAATCCAAGAGGTATATCCACGGGAGAGTGTAGATGAGAAGAGGGGACTTCGTCTGAAGTGCCGTGAGGGGTCTGTGCGGTGTGGGAGAGAGGCAGGGGGATCGCTGTGTTATCGGCAATAGGCAGCGGGCAATGGACGGGGCTGTAACAGCCGCAGCTGAGTGTGTCTCAGCGAGCGGTAACTGTCAGATCTGCTGGGGACCATGTGCAGAAGCAGCTGGCAGAAG